ATGGATTGTACCCTGTAGTAATGATTTACAGTCATTTCTCAGCATGCACTTGTTCATCTTGTGTGGTTTTGTGAGTAGCTTCTTTGGCGAGCTGGTCCACTGTGTCATTTCCTGTAATGTTCGTGTGCGACGGAATCCATACAAACTGTAGGTGTTTACTGCGGTCATGAATCTGCCGTCGGAGATCGTGTATTTCCTTCATATATTCATTGCGCGAATAAATATCGGCCATGCTCTGTATGCCACTCAGAGAATCGGTCAGTATGCAGTAGGTATCATGTTCACTGTTTAGGACGTACTTTAGTGCTTGTTTTATAGCATACAATTCTGCACTATAAATGGAGGACTCCGGAGGTAATTTAAAAAGGCCTTTTTGCTTCTCAGAACTGAAGGCAGCTCCTGTACCTGTAGCATCTTTAGATCCGTCAGTAAAAATCAGCTTAGATTTTTCGTGGTTTGTGAGTATATCTCGGAGCAGGATCTGATACCAATTGGGATTTGTTTCTGCTTTACGGTATTGAGACAATGCGATGTTAATGTGCGGTGGAGGAATAGCCCACGGATAGGGTAGTGAGAATTGTGGGATTAATGTGGGTTTGCAGTGAAGTTCTTGTAGAAGTATTTTGGACCATACATTACAGGGTGGAGATATTCTTGGAGCGAGTTGGTAGCTATTCTGAAATAATGGTTGACTGAAGTCTGCATGGTTGGGATGATTTCGGTTCCCTAATACCCTCACAGTATAATTCAGTAGCTGCTTGGAGATTCTGTATTCTAATGGAATTTGTCCGCTGACAGCATATAGGCTCATTATTGGGGTGGTACGGTGGGCTCCCGTGGCGATCCTTAATCCATAATGAAATACCGAGAACAGTTTTTTAGTCATTCTGTTAGTAGTGGAGTTGTAAATACTTAGGCTGTATTCAATTTTTGATCTTATAAGGGCATTGATGATAGTAAGTAACGTTTGAGTGCTTGAGCCCCAGTCTTGGTGAGCAATCATTTTGATAACGTTAAGTGAGGACTTACAACTGTCAGTTACCGAATTAACGTGGGATTTCCAAGACATTTTTCGGTCGAAAATTAGTCCCAGGTATTTGACTTCCGAAACGTTTTCCAATGTGGTTCCATAAAGCCTTAATCGTGGGAGCAGTGGTCTTCTTTTATTTGTGAATGTCAAGCTTTTCGTTTTTTGCTCTGAGAAAATAATACCGTTATTCTTTGACCAGTGTTCAAGGCGTTTAAGGGAGCGCTGAAGCAATCGTTCAGTTGTCCTTGGATTATTACTAGACGAAAAGATCACGAGATCATCCGCATATAGCGTCCCCTGCACTTCTTTGGGTAGTTCATCTAATATATCATTAATGGCAATCAAGAAAAGGGTAGGGCTCAAAACAGATCCTTGGGGAACACCATTATCTTGGGTAACTTTTTCCGAAAAAGTATTTCCAATACGGACTATGAATTTCCTGTCAGTAACAAAATGTTTGATGAAATTAAGTATCTGGCCGGTGATGCCCCAATTCTTAAGAACACTAATAATTTGGTGTCTCCATGTCGTATCATAAGCTTTCCGAAGGTCAAAGAACACCGCTGAGAGCTGTTTTTTTTTAACCAAGGCATTTTTAATGGATATTTCTAATTTGCTGATGCAGTCGATTGTTGATCTTTCTTTTCGAAAACCATTTTGATTGGAGGAGAAGAATTTGGATGTTTCTAGGTATGCCATTAATCTATTATTGATTATTCTTTCTAGGATTTTGCAGATTACTGAGGTCATCGATATTGGGCGGTAGCTGTTAGGATCATTCATAGGTTGCCCATGTTTGTGAATTGGTACGACCACTGCTGTTCTCCATGCTATTGGAAACGTACCGGAATTCCAGACGTTATTGTACAACTTGATGAGTTCGATTTTGAACAGAAGTGGAGCATTCTTGACCATCAAGTAATGGATATCGTCCAGGCCTGGACTAGAACCTTTACATTGTGCTAACGCATAGTCTAATTCGTGTAATTGGATATCCTTATTGAAAATTTCGTTGTTATTATCGTGTGCTGTACTGGTCATATGTTTGGCAGTTTCCTCAGTAGCTATTTTCATGTTAAGAAATTCGGGATCATAGTTATTGTTGCTAGAGTTCGTCTGAAAGTGATGTGCGAATACGTTGGCTACCTATATCTTCATGGGTTGTAAATGTTACTTGACCTAGGACTATTCCTGTTATACGAAATGATGTATTGATGCCCTTCATCCTGCGTACTTTTGTCCACATTTCTTTAGGCGACGTATTTATGTTGATAGATTTAACGTAGGTATTCCATGAGATCTTTTTGCTAGTTTTTATTATTTGCCGCGATTTTGCTCTGAGTTTCTTGTATTCTATGAGGTTTTCTGTGGATGGGTTCCTCCTATATTTATTAAATGCGTTATTCTTTTGCTTAATAGCCCTTTTACATTGCTCATTCCACCAAGGGACTTTGTACGATCGAGTCCCTGTTCCTATGGTTGATGTTGGAATCGATACCGTAGCTGCTTTAATTACTACATGGTTTAACATTTGAACGTCATTATCTATGTTATTGGGAACAGAACACTTAAACGGTTGTTTGGTTAATTCATCTCTAAAACAACTCCAGTTGGCATTTTCAAATTGCCATTTCTGACGTGTCGTCATGTTAGTATGTAGTTTAGAGTTGAGGGTGATCATTATAGGAAAGTGGTCACTATCTGAGGGATCTTCAAGCACAGTCCAGCAGAGATGTGCGGCAAGTTTCGTACTTGAGACAGCTAAATCAATGGCTGAGAAGCTATTTGTTCTGGCATCGAAGTGTGTAGCCTCTCCGGTGTTGAGGAGTACAATGTCTTTTTCATTGATGAGTTTTTCAATGATATTTCCTTTGGCATTTGTTTTACTGCAGCCCCACAGCGTATGATGGGCATTGTAATCACCCAGAAGGATAAATGGGGCCGGTAGCTGTTTTATAACGTCTTCTATTTCCTCTGTACTAAGCATGTGGTTAGGAGGAGTGTAGATATTGCATATTGTCAGCTCTTGAGGTAGATAGAACTTGACTGCCACTATTTCAAGGTTGGTTGTTAGTGTAACATTCTCACAGTACAGATTGTCTTTGTAAAAGATACTGACACCTCCACTAGCATGATCCGTCTGTCTATTTTTATGGATTGAGGAGAATCCCCTAAGTAATGGGTGGTGGTTGTCTTTGAAGTGGGTTTCTTGGAGGCATATAATATCCGGTTGATGGTTTGTGGTTAGTATTTTAATGCTTTCCAAGTGGGAAAAATATCCGTTGCAGTTGAGCTGTAGGCATCGTATATGTTTCATTATATTGGGGGGGGGGGGGGGCAACTTTGATTTTAAATTTAATATTCGGATTGTACAGATCTATCAGTATTGTAGTCTGATTGATACTCTATAGCCTTACTTATCGTGTTCTTGATGCGAGTGAACCTGCTTTTAAGTTTTTTGTCTGGTAGAAGAGGGTAAATATCAAATAGGGTGTTAATTATAGCAGAGGGCTCTGCTTCATAGTTCTTGAGTACTCCCAAAGTATCCTTGGTATATTTGACCTTCATCAGGAATTCAGAGAGCGTCTCGACTGAGAACCGGAAAGGGAAAGTATCAGCTTTATCGATTAGCGTTTGTTTCAGTGATTCTAGTTGTTTGTCTAGGGCTTCCTTTTCTTGAGCATAATTCTTAGAGTGAGAGAATTTGTTTGTTATTTTTCCAGAACTGGTGCTACCTTCACTACAAGTTTGTACCAGAAATTGGCTTGAGAGAGCTTGCATTTGGATCGGTACTTCTTCACCTACCGGAAGCTGTACTGGGTGAAATCGCTTAGCCGGTATTGGAATGGTAGAGTGAGTTGTATTTGTGTCGGTAATAGATCGAGTTCGTTTATTTGAAATTTGTTGAGTATTCATATCTGGTGCTGAAGTTCGATTAAGTTCTATTTGTGAGGATTGAGTTGGCATGTTTGGTGGTATCGGAGGTAACAGGGGGTTGGTAGAGGGGTTGGGATTTGGGCATTTGTATGAAGTGTGTCCTGTTTCCTTACAAAGAAAACATTTGATTTCGTCCTCTTGTAGGAAGATGCGATAATTGTCTTCTTCATAGTGGATTAACAACGAAGAGGGGATACTTGTATTTTCTTCAACGTTAATAAAGACGTATCTTCTGTAGCTAACTATATGGGCATATTCGGGTTCCACAAATCCCGCTTTAATTAACTGGATAGGTGACGATAGTTTCAGTCCAACCTCTTTTAGTTGGTTTTCGATAATTAAATTTGGAATGCAGGGAGAAACATTTGATAGCAATATTTTTTTCGTCGGAGTAATAAGTCGGCGTATTTTTATGTTCTTATCACAAACTGTTACCGATTGGTGGTATTCTAATAGTTGGTCGACCGTCAACTTATTATTGAGATAGTATGACAAGAAACCGAGTAATTAATTAAAGAAGTTTTAATGTTTGAATGTTATCCCCTGAGTTCGCTCAATCTTACAAGCCAATTGTTCCCAAATGGGAACATACAATTTCAAAATGAAGTCATGTAGGCCGTCATTTTTATGTCACGTTATATTGCTAATTCAGCAACTTTTAACAGTAATTTAAAATTAAATCAGCTTATTAGCGTAATAATTTCTGCCATGCACACAGAAGCATAGGATCGGGAATGAAAGAGATGATTGGAATGGTTTCATCGGCAAGAAAAGTTGAGCAGAAGAGCTACTCTGGAGGAATACTGATCAGCCTGATGGTTGAACGAAAAAGACCGAGCAGAAGATCAAAGAGGAAGTGAACGAACTGTATCATGGATTATGGATGCAAAAGACAAAAGGGAGTGAAAGGAAAGGGCACAAAGAGCCTTCTAAACCTAGAAACAGTTGGGATTTTTAATCCATAAAAAGTTCCCAATTAAGCTCTTGAACGGTGAGCGTTATGATTTTGATCTCAGCTCAGAAATAACGTGGATCGATTTTGAGAAGGGCCTTTTATGTAACCTTACAAAAGCAACGTTTACTACTATTAACTACATAAAATATTAACCACAAAAGACAAGTTTGCTAACTAGAGAAGGAAGCTCGTGTCATCCCTCTTTACGCATTGATTCCCTCTCCGGAAAATCGATCTCATACGCAGGTTCATCATTTTCAACCACCCAAACGCTTCCACTGCCTCCTTCGTTTAGAACAGTCACGACTCCCTTAGCAACGTTACTGGATCTGTAAGTGTTCAATTTAGTCCATTCAAAACGGTGCCTTATTATACTCACGCTTGCGTCGGATACGCTTTTGAAGATAACAGCGCCGCATCTACCACATATGGACTCAGTTCGTTCGAAAGCGACTCCCGAAATCCCACCTTATTGGGAGAAGAAGTGTTAGTGGTCCCGGGACAAAGCGTAATGACGCGCACTTCGTTGTAATCATAGTATATCTTATGACCCAAGGCGCGACCAAGACCGACAACAAAACTCTTCGTAGCCGAGTTGAACGGAAGGAAAAAAATTGGATCGATTGCGGCAATTGACCCGATATTGATTATCGTTCCGCCGCTTCCTCCCTTCGCTTTGCTCATGTATTCGAAACCTAAAAGAGTTCCTTGCAGCGTTCCAACCTAACAAAGTAATGAGACCGACTATGATTTTCCAATGAATGGTATACTTACGACGTTGACGTCAACTTGCATTTTCCAGGTATTCTCGTTGAAGACTGCCGCGTTGTTGACCACGATATCCAATCGCTTCCAATGGTAGAGTGCGATTTTGAAGGCGTCTAAAATACAAATTGCGGATTCTAGTTAATTAAGAAAGCTCTATCCCAATGAGCAAATTTGTGAATGTTTGTCTGCATAGTCGTGTACTAACTTACACTTACAGTAACAATAAACTGAAAAATAACCTTAACCATCTACCGACTAACGTGAAGGGTTGGGTGAAGTGTATTTACAAACACCACTACGTAAATGAAAATGGAGAGGACTTTGGTACCGTTAAAAAACTTTGAAGAATCATAAAAATCTGGTAAATATAACGAATCTTTAGAAATGTAGGAAGTCTTGAATTTTGTGAATCTTGACAATCTCCATAACCTTAAAAATCCGTTGCCTCATGAGAATGTTATAACTTGAATCTTAAATCTTGAATTTTGAGGGCATGGATTCGTTGGAATCGTAAGAATCTTGAAGGTCTTTAATCCTGGACCAAGATCTTTGAAAATCTTAAAAATCATTAATCGACAATTTTGAATCGTGAATCTCGTGAATCTTGAATCTGGTTAATCCTGTGAATTTTGAATCTTGTGAATTTTGTGCATCTTGTGGATCTAGTGAATCCTAATACCTATAAAATTCTGGATACATGACCATCTTTATAATATGCAGCCCGCGTTGGTAACGTTGAATTTTGGAAATCTTTGCAATATTCACAATTTTGTGCATCTTGAATCTTGTTAGTCTTTAATCATGTGAAACTTGAATCTTGTGAATCTTGTGAATCTTGGATCTTGAATCTGGTTAATCTGTGAATTTTGAATCTTGTGAATTTCGAATCTTGTGACTCTTAAATCCTGTGAATTTTGAAATCTTGTAAATCTTGAATCTTGTGAATCTTGAAATTTGTAAATCTTGAATCTTGTGAATCTTGAATGTTGTGAATCTTGTAAATCTTGTGAATATTGAATCGTGTGAATGTTGAAACCTGTGACTCTTGAATATTGTGAACCTTGAACCTTGCGAATCTTGAATATTGTGAATTTTTAATTTTGTGAATCTTGAATCTTATAAATCTTGAATCTTGTGAATCTTGTATCTGGAAAATCTAGAATCTTGAATGTTGTAAATCTTGTAAATCCTGAATCATGTGAATGTTGAATCGTGCGAATCTTGAATCTTCTGAACCTTGAATCTTGTGAATCTTATGAATCTTGAATCTTGTGAATATTGAACCTTGTGAATCGTGAATCTTGGATCCTGTGAATCTTGAATCTGGTTAATCTGTGAATTTTAAATCTTGTAAATTTCGAATCAATCTTGAATCGTGTGAATGTTGAATCCTGTGACTCTTGAATATTGTGAATTTTGAACCTTACGAATCTTGAATATTGTGAATTTTTAATTTTGTGGATCTTGATTCTTGTAAATCTTGCATCTTGCGAATCTTGAATCTTGAATGTTGTGAATCTTGTAAATCCTGAATCATATGAATGTTGAATCTGGTGAATCTTGAATCTTCTGAACCTTAAATCCTCTGAATCTTGAATCTTATTAATCTTAAATCTTGTGAATCTTGAATCTTGTGAATCTTGTCAATCTCTAATCTTGTGAATCTTGAATCTTGTGAATCTTGAATCTTGTGAATGTTGAATCTTGTGAATGTTGAATCTTGTGAATCTTGAATCTTGTGAATCTTGAATCTTGTGAATCTTGTGACTCTTGAATCTTGTGAATCTTAAATCTTGAATGTGGTTAATCTGCAAATTTTAAATCCTGTGAATCTTGTAAATCTTGAATCTTGTGAGTTGTGAATTTTGTAATTCTTGTAAATGTTGAATCCTGTGAAACTTGAATATTGTGAATCTTGAACCTTGCAAATCTTGAATATTGTGAAGTTTTAATTTTGTGAATCTTGAATCTTGTAAATCTCGAATGTGGTTAATCTTGTGAATCTCAAATCCTGTGAATTTTGTGAACCTTGAATCTTGTGAATCTTGGGTCTGGCAAATCTTGAATTTTGTGAATCTTGAATCTTGTAAATATGGAATCGTGTGAATGTTGAATCTTGTGAATCTTGAATCTTGTAAATCTTGAATCTTGTGCATCTTGAATCTTGTAATCTTGAATCTTGTGAATCCTGAATATTGTGAATCTTGAATCTTGTGAATCTCGTAAATCTTGAATCTTGTAAATCTTAAATAGTGATATTCTTGGTGATTTTAAAACTGGTGAACAGTCTTAAAAACCTTTTCTGGAACTCTTAACAATCTGAACCTTCAAGTCTTAGGGGAAAAGAGTGTTGTAAAATATTAAAAATCTTGAAGATCTGAAATATAGGGAATTTTTAGAATCCTAAGAATATTGACAGTCTTGGAAAATCTTAAAAAATCGTGAAGAATCTTGAAATCCTATGACACTTGTAAATTTTTGGAACATTGTATTGGGAATTTTTTCGATCTTGAAAACCCTTACAATTTTGATATCTGATGGGATTATCTTTATTATACATATTTATTTTATTATCTTGATCTTGGAGAATAAATTGTCAGAAACTGAAGAATTTCGAGAGCTTTGATTTATGAAATCTTGGAGATCTTGACTTTTTAATATCTTGAAACTTTACTTCGCAAAGTAGTCTTCATTGTCGAGAAAATAACATGACGAAATAAAACTAGTGTCCGTTTTGGTAAATGACATCCCGTCCCCAATTTACTTTCTCGAGGTTAGTGAGTACGTCCTTACGTTACGATTATAATCAAATAATTAATCCAACGATATTATTCACACTTACTTTCGAATTGCTCTCCATTACTAACATCGGCTGGTATAAAAATGACCTTGCCAGGGGCATACAGCTGATTGAATTCCTTGGCCGTTTTTCTCCCAGTCTTTTCATTAACGTCGACCAATGTAACACCCTACAATCTTGACTATTTTCGCAAATTTTTACTATCAAAGTACCTACCTTTAGTCCATTGCGCAGTAGCTCCCGTATAATTTCATAGCCGATCCCTTGCGATCCACCAGTTACCAATGCAATTTTTCCTTGATAAGTAAACGCACTATTTACCGTGCCTATGTAATTCAAAGTGGCTACAGCGTAAAGGATTAGAATAACACTTGCGGGTGTCAACATGATGTTACTTACACAATGTACCTCAGATCAAGTACAAATTCTTACTTACCTTCGCATGTAATTAAACTTTGTTCCTGCATATGAAAATATACAAGTTAACAGCTGTACTAGGACTGACCATGCACTTTGGAATAGGCTTCCTTTTTAATGAGCATTTTCACACTGAAATTGGTACACATGAACAGGTTTTTGGGAACATCTTTAGCAATGAATAAATACACAATTCAATTTGAATTGCAAATTCAGAGAATTAATTTTGGATTTGTTATTTTCATCCTGGAATAGGAATTAAATGAGAAACGCAAATTTTGGGATTTATGGAGAGGTGTGTTGCTCCTAAACAAAGTATTTTTGAAATCTTAATTGTTTAAACCCTGTACAGGGTGGTTCATATTCGTGGCTTATCATTGGGGTTTACATAACGATTAAGCCCACATTACATCTATCAACTAATTCATGAATTTGCCCATGGATTTATTGATGAATTATTTCATGGATTTATTGTTTAGAAAAGAACACTTTACACTTGTCAATAAAACCATGAATTTTCTAGTCTATGTTAAGGATTGCCAACTTTGAGAAAAATTACCAAACGCCTAAACAAAACAAACAACCCTCTGTTTACATAGGTTACCTATTCTTATTATCAAGATTAATGAACAGAAAAACAAAGTTAAGGCATAATAATGCAGCCAAAGTTAAAGCAGCAGTGGTTGCTATTAAAGTCACTAAATATAATAATATAATATCTAGTGACTTTAGTTGCTATGATGGTTGCTGTTACATCCTACAAATGCCGCCGTCTATTGGTATACATGGAATAACAACAAAATTACTAAAATATCACCAGAAAATTGACGAAAATTAGAGCAAGTTCTTAATTCATCAAGGAATCCACCAACAAATCCATGAAGAAATTATTCAGAAAATTGATGAATTATAGTACTTTACACTTGACAATTTAACCTTGAATTTGTCCATGGGCAAATTCGTGAATTAGTTGATAGATGTAATGTGGGCTTTAGAAATACAGCGTAGGTTAAATAGGGGAGGGGGGGGGGGGCAAAGTTACCTCTTTTTGTGACTAAACATTTTTGAAAAATCTTTGAAAATAACTGAGATATCACCGAAAAACTGAAAATGTCAAATTTCGTGTTCATTTTCGCTAGCTTTTAAACGGTCGGAACAGTTCCTGTTAGCACCTTCTATGAGCACTTTTTTTAGGATGATCTAAATCTGTTATGAGAATTTCCATATCACCCATGGTAAAGTCTCCGGTGAAATAATACAAAATCCTTTATAGGGACAAAGAAAAGCACAAACAAGTGTGGTACTAAGAAAGTATTTAAGTACAAAGGATAGGGACGACAGCAGGTGACATCTAACGGAGGAGTTTTACACATACTACTACTACTGACTATTGATAGATTCCTTTAATGGTTTTTTTCTTATTACTCAAACACAAAATTTATTTCAACGCCTTCAAAGAAAACCGGTAAAATCAAGGGTCTTGGCATTCGCAGACAAATCTGGGCTTAATCCAAGGTTACCAAACTCGTATGTCGAACAAGAATTGTAGGTACAGTAAAAGTATCAGGAACTTATACCGGTACTTAAAACGCTAAAATAAATCAAAGGTAACCTGTCTTCCATGATATGCTAAAATTTACATGTCTCTTAAATAAACAGGCTGATAATAATAATAATATCCCATTTATTTGTACATAAAAAACAACAAAATATTTTTCACTTTAAACTTAAAAATTATTATACTACAAATAAATGTATAAAATCTACGGAGTTTCATTCACACAAACATGAGTACATTGCACATTAAAAATAAAAGAGAAAAAAATGTATATCAACACTGAATTCATACCTGCAGCAGATATCTAAGTTTAAAAACTTGTTAATATCTTTTGTCAGGTGCAAGGTGAATAACTTGATAATAGAATTTACATCGTAGATAAATGTAACAATGGTCGATGAAAATTGCACTATGACCAATTATAACTCAATCTACAGAAAGGTACACCTCAATACACCACATCAAAGCAAGCAAGACTACACCTCACTAGGTGAAATTGGTTCAATTAATTACTTCGGAATCCCCAAAGTACGAATCCAATTGCCAGAGATCAATATATATGGACGATGGCAATTAAAATTCCATGCGTTCTAACTTATTTAAACGACGTGTACTTTGATACGGCGTATGAAGGAAGGAAGATGAAAATCGACACGCACGAATCAAAGCACTACCGTATGCGTGACAAAATTGCGTTATTAAATTCCAACAATAGAGTCATTTACTAAATTACTTTAAATGTTACGGGGATCTTTCAACAAGTATTACACAGTAAACAATAATTATAATACTTTGTAATAGAGAATATAAATCGTTACGCAAGGTAAATTATAGACATAATAAGAATTATCGGGGTTTATTCCTTAATTCAGATACATGACAGTACTCAGGGGCCACTAACTACGAGAACGCGGACTGGTATTAGGGGTTGAAAAGACAGTCGTTCATTGAACCAAGCTGGAGGCTCTATTGGCCCCACTAACAGAATAATAATGTCTTTATTATAATAGGCGTAGTTCAGCCTAGGTCTGTTTTTTTTACAGGACCTACATATAAGTTACTATTTGACCTTACAGGCAGCCGTACAAACAATTTAAAACGAAACTAAGACCAGTGTAGAACACTTCAAGGCATATTCATGAAGTGATAAAATTAAAATATGAGTCAATTATACGATGGGAACAGCCGAACGTATAGTTTCGCGCGGCTTAATTTTCATTATTAATAAAGCACATACACAAATCTATAACTCCTAACTTTAATTTAATAAGTCCGTCCTTGACCTTTGGTGACTGTTGGATTTATTCATAGCAGGCCACACTCAGATTATATAGGGTTATAGCTACTTGCAAATATTATCTCTATTTCAATTAATTAATCTTAATTGAAAAGAATTTCCCTTGTAGTGCAGTATTCCAACAGGTAGTGGTTCGCACTGAATATAATTAGCAAAATCTTCTAAACCGCATACTAGTCAATTAGTGTTAACAATCTTGCACCTCTCCTAACTGGAATCGACTAACTTGCACTCCTTTTTTTACGAAGTTTTCCTTCCTTACTCTAAAATGAAAGGGTTTTAACTGGCCCCCTATCGTAATTATTGTGGTACTAATCGATAATAAATCACTCATTGAAAATAAGTAGCAGTTTTCATTGTGAGGTTAGTTAGACTTGCGTTCAAATACTTGTAATTGCAGAAAAACCGTGTAGAAATGTGAAATAAGTATGTCATCTCGGTCATATCCAGGACGGACTATTCCTTTTGTCTTGAATGCGTTTTGGGCATCTCCCTAGTTACACTGTAAGGTATTTCTGTGAGAAATTGTTCACGAATGTTATGTATTTTCCTTCTTTTTTGACCTGAGGATCAATAGCCGTAGTGCCTCCAGAAATATACACAAGAGCCTACGTCATATCGTTCTGCGACGGACATCCACCTAATGTGTTTACGACGGGGGTGAAAAATACTGCAAAGGAATAAATTAAAATTGTGAAGTAAACAACTTCAACACAAATTGCCTCGTGTTAAGGGAGTAGCTTTGATATCTGATGCATTGCGTGTGACGTAGTGATAAAAGTGAAATACACTAAAACCTTCACAGAGCACGCAAAACGAGGTCGCAATTTAAACTTAAAAGCATTTTTAAATTATAGATAATATAAATACAACAAAGTTGAAAAAATTATAATCGAAAATGAACAGGGTGCCTTAGAAACGCGACGCGCACATTTGTCACAACTGTAAAATAAAATACACGACAATTAATTAAAAAATGTCATCCTTTTAACCCTTCAGCAGTAGATTATAAACTTTTATGGATTTATAGCGCGGTTACTACACGATACATAAATATAAGGTCATTTATTACACGTCTCATTGTTATAGTACCACTTTACACGCGAATGATACGAACTTTTCCGAAAGGTCCAGTACCCTTTATAACTCATTTTTCTTCACAACCCAAATAAACAAGGATTTTATGTGAGCATTAGCATTTTTACGCAAAGAAGACAGGAGAATGATGGATTTTTAATAAAAAGTTATCTTATGAATTACTAGGTTTGTCGGAAACGTTTGATACCTAGTTCATTCTTATCCCAATATTGAATTGAAAAAAACTCGAATCAGACGGGGCAAGCTATTTATAAGCGTTGGCATTTTATCGATTCGGGGTTTACTGTTCTTATCTTACTGTACACGGAGCTATATAAGAGCACAATTAAAATCGATTCTGTTAAGAAATTCTGAGACACTTAAAGATATAATGTTCTACAACGTATTGTGTATGGATGATGATTATGATACGGACGAGATCATTTTAAAAATTTTGTACTCTCTTATGGAGATATCGACAAAGGACACAATGTCGCACACTGAACATGAACCTTGTGATGAAAATGAACAATGTTGCACAAACGATACGTATCTTTTCCGGCGACGAGTAGAAAAGAGGATAGAAGAATTTGCGCTAATTTCGTAAGTTTTTATTTGCAGAGTTTCTTACAAGAAGAGATAGGGCCTCGGTTAGGACTGAATAAATGGGGAAATTTGAAAATGGTCACGAGAAAGATTCACGATTGCACAAGGTGTTTTGTTTTAGAAAACAGGAACAGGCCAAGAGTGTATTTTCAACATGAAAGGCCTAGCAAGCAAAGGCATGACTGAAGATGAAGCCTTTGACCTTCACCGAGGTCTACTTCTCAATGTCAACTTGTGTACTTGGATGACCTGAAAAATGAAATATCACAAAAAGGGGGCCATTGACCTTGCATAACCTTGGGAAATAAATGACACGTACAAAGGCAACAGATGGCGTTGCAAAAATATAACACCAAAAAAAATGGGTTGATTAACCTTCGATGACCTTAAAATGACACCTCAAAAAAAGGGGTATTAACCATGAAAGTTAAATGACACCTTGGATGACCTTGAAAATGCAGTATGACATCACAAGAAATAGGGTAGTCGACAATGAAAATCAAACGACCCCTTAAAAATGCGGTTGTTGACTTTAGATGACCTTGAAAATAAAGTATGGCATCAAAAAATAAGGTAGTCGACCATGAAAATTAAATGACACCTCAAAAATGGGGTCGTGGACCATGCATGACCTCGAAAATGAGAGAGCGCAGGCAAGTGTCTGTTGAGTTTTACCTTGACATTCACCTTGACCTATTGTCCAAGGTCACGCTGATGGCGAGCGACCTTGAAACTGCTCCAGGTTTTGGCTTGTATATTTTTCATATCACTCGCAACGGTACGTGGACATAAGGTCTATTTGTATATTTTTGTCCATTTCATTTGCGAGAAGCTTGCACTGTACCCACATTTTACTTGAGCAAGTAGTAGATCAATCATCTCATAAATATCAAGTAAAATATAAAGCCAAATGATATACGTGGCAAGTCAAAACTTACGGCCCCGCTCCAGAATGTCGTTATTTTTCGAGGTGATGCAACGTTACCTGCAACAAAATAACACAGTTAATTGCGATCTATTGTCACCGTCTCGCTGAACCTACTTATTAACAATGTACTGAAGTGTGAAGCCAATTGCAATTTGTAAACGTGTTGATTGCATAGACTGTAATTCAGTGAGAAACTTCGTAGCACCTTTTCAATTCGAGTTAAATGCGTATATTAGGTGTACAACTATGCAATCACATTCCTATTCACTTCATGTTAAAGCTTGATTATGTGTTAATACTCCAATTACAAACAGGAAAGCTGTTTACAGGATATTGTAAATTTTCACTATAATATTCTAAACAGACGTCATGTGTAGAACCACTGGCAACTGAATTATTAGTAATTGATTTTGCAAAAAGAAAACCGACGGACAGAAACATTTTGTTAGCAGGAACCACTACGAAGTGCGTTGTTGCGTTATTTGCTACTTTATAACAGGTATGGAGGAACAAAAGCATCTCCCTAATTTAGTGTAGTAGGGTAATAAATAAGCATAGAATGCATCGGGCGTCTTATTACGAACCTTTTCTTTTTATGTTTAGGCTTTATTTTATAACATCTTCAATGAAAGGATTTATTAAGTTCATGCTTTATCGCGAAACCTCGGCATTAAGGATGCAGGTACACCAGTTGATATCTGTAGTGTTTTCAGACGCATGATTTAGTTTGTGTAATTATTTTATTTTTAGCAGAAAAACTGATTAAGCCGAGGATTAAGCTATGGATGGTTCGTCTTTAATTTAAAGTGAATCTGTACCATTATTCGTAAACAATGCGAAATTATAGTTTTTATTTAGATTGATGAGACATTGTAAAATGATAAAGGCGCAGGTGTTGCTCTGTATAGTTATCCTTAGGAAGTCGAACATTTTATTTTTGGGTAAAAGGAATATCTGTATCTAAGGGAAATGGGTTTAGAAAAGGAAATAATTGATAATAGTTTGTGTACGTAATAAGTGTTTTATTAAAGTACGACGAAACTTTGTATCCCACAGAAGAAAGTGGAACGCTTATTTATAAAGGTATCTTGTAAGAAAAGTAGGAAATCTTCTTTGGTCGAGGACGTTGAACACAGTCTTGAAAAGCAATCCTGCAATTTCAGAGTTATAAATAAATATTGAAGACTCATAGGGGTGCATACAATTTTTATTACACCGTGTTTTATATACATCAAGAACCGCGTTGTGTGGCTAATAGCCAATCACTTCAATGCTAATAATATGCATAAAAACATAAAATACATATATTATCGCATTAATAAACATTTTATATGGAGTTTTATTGCACATTCATGAACAATATTACGTTCTTTTCCCACAATGTGTGGGATTTTACACTGAAATTTATATTTCACGTCTTTTATGTCGGGGTATTAACAATCTTAGTTAAGGTGACGAAACGATTAACTGTATACATTCGTTTATTACTATATGCAGAGTAAAAGACCAGTATAAACTTTGTATCTAGATTGCTGTAAAAGATTCATTAACGTAACCAACTATTTTGAATGTTAGACCGTCGCAAATGCGAGTACCGAGTGATCTAAAATGACTGCCGCAGAACTGAACATGCATAAAGTTGGTAACATGCCAAATATGTGACTTATTTAAAAGCAGTTGTGGATCAATTTAATGGATCACTAAACAATAATCACAATTAATTAATTAAAGATAATTTATCAATCACAGTTGCGCGCTCCGATTCATGTTTTCAAATAATCATTCTAACGTTGCCCGGGGGGTAGTCTTGCTAATTAAACGACCACCGTAAAATTCTTTTCTTCTGAATAATAAACGTGTAACATGCTCGTAATAGGTACTATCAAAGGAGATGTGCGAGAATTTTACATTGGAATTAACAAAACGATTGAGTACTATGAAGTACCATATCGACAGTATCCGCGACACCGTTGTCTTTTGGCTCGTAATTTTATACCCATATAAGAAAACATAATCATTTGCAATGTTAAAATTCTAATAAATTACTTGTCTACATAAAATAAAACAAACTAAATCATTACAATGTAAACTTTAGCAATCGCCTCAAATGGAGATCGTGTGGATCAAGTCCTTTCAATTTCAAGATCAAGTGCTAAGAAAGATGGAAAAAAGGATCATTTATTTATTTATTTATTGTCCCTCTTGTTCTAGGCCCTCAACAGGCTTACGCCCAATTACAGAGTGACCCGCATAATGCTTTTTAGAGGTGCCCCTGCAGAAGGTCTTAAGACGCTCGTAGAAAATTGTTTACTAAACAATTAAAATATTAGCACTATTATGTCTTTAAACTTTTTTGCAACGTAGTAGCGATGACGTTATCAGGGCGTCAAGTCGGTAAATGATTAGATATCAGCGATAAGGAATAAAACCGAATGTGACTCATTCTTTATGTGAAATACGATAGTGTAGGGTGGTTTTCCAATCTTTCGCGCCATCGACAAATACCGGAAATACGTCAAATAAGATACAATTTAAGCATTTCTATTAATTAATTAATTAATCCCATTTTCCCAATATTTGAGGTTAGGAACGAGATTTTCAAAAGAAGTTAAAGCAGGTTATTGCAAAAACAATTGAACGCCCCACGCCATTTTTGTTTTTGAAATAACTAAGTACCTCTCCCGCCTTTTTCCCCTAGTGAATTAACTAAGGAGTGACCTTGTTTTATGGTGCAAAGTCATGCTCTGGGATTTCCCCGGCGAAAAAATTCGTGTCACGTGCTCGGCCGTTTTTTTGTAAACATTTTCGAGGTTAATTTTATACAGTCCAGGCATATTAAAAGTACACAAAACGAACTATAAAAAACGATAGAAAGACAGAAAGATTTTAAATTAATTAGCGTTTTAATTGCGGTTTGGCTTTAATAGGTGAAAATGATCTGATTGATGGATTATTTTTGCAATTTCGCCGATTTAATTGAATTAATTTAGTTATTTCTGAACTGAGGTTTACAAAAAATATTTAGCCACTGTACAGATAATACTATGAAAATTAAAACTTCTTTATTTTATGTCTTACTAACCTATCATAGCACATTTTATATCTGTGATACACGGTCATAAAGTACCACTTTATGCCCTAGGGCATTAATTATCACCATAGTAACTCATTCTTACTTAATGACAAAACAAACAAATATTTGCAGGTCATTGAAAATTAGAAACGTCAATTATTAATTGTCAATACCTACTAAATCACAATATTGACCTTATTTCGTATAGTTTCTGGAACTTCTTGCTCATTCACGATGAATTACATTATTTAAAATTACGTTTGACTTTTGGATGGTTTCAATCACATTAACAAATTCGAACCACGCATACTTAATCAAACATAATTTGTAAAACATAAAATTTTGTATGTACCACGGGCATAAGCTGATGTTTATACTCTCGGGCGACTAAAAAGCTCTCGGGCCATAGGCTCTCGAGAATATAAACATCACTATTATGCCCTTAATACATAAATAACTATAATAGTGCGGCCTGCGATAAACATAAAAATCTGTAATTGGGCTTAAAATTAACTCAATTAAGTTAATTAATTAAGTTCGACGAAATTTTTTTGTTATAGTTAATTATTATTTTCTTCTTTGTTACACAATTTTAAATATTTCGTTTAAATAAAATTTTTAAATTCAAAAATATTTATTTTTTCCTTGCCTCTCCGTGCCGAGGGCTGTCGGATACTACAAAAATAATTTACATACCTATCTCTACAGTCTACGCCCTACGGGAACAATGATAAAACTGATCAATTATATACGGCAACTAGTTTCATTATCAGCGGCTAAGACGGCGCTAGATTTCTCACTCCGAGAAGGAATAAATAAATATGGCAGCTACGGTTTCTTAGTAAAGAAGCACCCAATTATTTGTCATATATGTACTGTGTATTCATAAACTCTAGTATGAAAAATGAGTGCTTCACATGTGGTAAAATGGATTCTTGTCAGTTGTCCTAGCTAACGTGGGATTTCAGCGGCGCGATAAAAAAAATAATTAAAATCTTTTAAAATCTTAATTAATCTATTTTATCAAAATATAAAATGATACTCGAAAATTTTTACAACTTCTGAAAAGTATTTCAAATATCTTCCTAAACTTAAAACCGAGCTTAAAACCTAGTTTTTCGCCGCTAAAATCCCACATTAGCTAGAGTAAAAACCCATTTTACTTTGGCCAAGGTTAACTTGTTTCCGATTGCGATGCCATTACAGAATCACGTTCCTCCGTAAAAAGAAATACTTTCTATTTCCTGTTATTCTTCAATGAGTCGTCCTCAGAATGCGTTAACATTACCAAACGTATTATTATCAGTTTTATCAGGCTCTCATCATCTCCTAAAGTTTACACGATTGTAATGATATCTGTGCATCCTTTCGTGGGTGAATATTTGTTGTAAAGAACCTCTTTTGTTTTGCTTGACTTTTCTTCTTTGCAACATTTTAAATGCATAATTTATCATTTTTCAAAACAACCTAGGTTTTCAATACTTATGGCATTTCTCTCTTCTAATTGAACAAAATCAAGGTTCAATTAAAAAAAAAAAAATAATTAAATTAATTCAATTCAATTCGCGAATACGTCAAATAATCGATAAATCAAAGAACGCCTGCAAATTATTTTTACCGATTAAAAGCAATCAAAATGCTAATGAAATTAAAAACCGAAAATAAAATCTGCCAATTTTATTTCATTGAAACCTCTAAATTATACGAGTTGTCAAGAAATGGTAGAGAAATCATCATCCAATTCTAACTTAGAATCTGTCTCTCTCTATCAATTACCTTTTTCTATTATTCGTTTTGTATTTGAGAGAACTGTATAAAATTAAACTAGAATTTTTTTACAGAAAAGCAACAGTCCATCCGGAATGGCGCATAACGGCCTAACACGTGACCAGGGTTTTTCGCCGCGGAAATCCCATACCACGACCTTGCACCATAAAACAAGGTCCCTCCATAATCACCGAGAAACCCCCTTAACTAAGGCCCC